CTAACAAACGGCCCATGAACTCGGCGAGTATGGCGAATCTTGCGAACGATGTCTCTCAAAATGCCAAGATCCGCGGAACCGTCGGAGTAACTTTAACAGCCGCCGCGTCGCCGCGGAGTAATGATTTTCATCCATTTGAAGTGTGTATACGGACAGAGTGATGCCGGGGCGATCGTCACGATACTTCTGGCTGTGTGATCGTTACTTCTCAATTATACGTAATCATATGTTACCGTTATTATTATGTCGCGACTTGTAATTATATCGTGGGCGATGACGCTCGCGAGTCTCGACGCGGACAATCGAAGCGACGGCGACGACGACGGAACCTCAAAATACGATGCAAGCGCGAATGCATCTAGATTAAGCGGTGAAGCGGGCGAAAAAAAGACTCGCGCGAAATTACACGTCATTATATACCGGCGTACCGGTTAACGGAGTGATCTCGTTTACGTAATAATCGGCTTGGGAATGGAAAACGACAATAGTGGCAGAGCCTGGCGCGCGCGGAATACGGACCGTCGACGGATAGATACAAACGATAAATGCCAATCGCAGCGAGATCGTATTGCCCATTCGAGAATTAACAAATACCGCCGTTAACGGAGAGAAATATATCGGACGTTGAACCCGTTTACGGCCATCCGAACTATATAGCAGCGCGGGCGCTATATTTACGGGCGTGATTTATTCGAGCGAAGTTGCTGCACGCGGCCGGTGCCGCTTACGCAATGTAGTCCATTTTCACTGAAGAAATACAAATTCGCGGCGATTGAGTGGAAATCGCTGGAAAGCCGCGACGTGCGATGAATCAGTTTAATAAGCGTTTAATAGGCTGGAAAATCGATGAAGAATCGGATTTTCCGCACGAGTTCCAACATCTTGAGAATATTCGCAACAGTATTCGCATCAGTAACGTCACGGTACGAGGACATTGTAAATGACATGTATGGCCGAGAACAATTGTTCACTTGATAACTCGATAACATTCAAGTTTGTACGAGACGAGGGAAGAAATCATCGTCACGAGAGAGCGCCTCCTCGCCCAATTTTCCTTTCTTCACTCCTTTTTTGTGCCTCTCGCGACCAAATTTGGTGTTGACACTAAACCCGATTATGGTGGCTCGACAAGTCGCGTTCGGAGGCGCGACACGACGACAGTTCTTTACGGTATTCGCGCGAGCGGAATGCGCAATTATCGACAGATACGACGACAAACGTTGGCCGCGGAAAGGATCGCTGTCGCCGTTTTAGACGCGTGTCGCGATTTCTTTCATCGAGAGAGAGAGAGAGAGAGAGAGAGAGAGAGAGAGAGAGAGAGAGAGAGAGAGAGAGAGAGAGAGAGAGAGAGGCAACGCGCAGAATTTGCCGCAGCAGCAACAGCATTCGCGCGGTCGCTTTCACGCAGAACTTCTCTTTCGCAACGCGCATCTCGGGCGACGAATTTGCCGCGCACACTTCTCTTTCGTCTTTTCTCGTCTCTCACATGCAATTCGCATGCATGGGGATTGCGTGAACTCCTTTTTTCCACATTCTCCTCCCCTTACATTCCCGTCCTCACAAGTAAGAATTTGACTCAAAAATTCAACTAACGTTCGTTCCGCTGATCGGAATCACCGGAATATATCCGGTCGTGATTGTTAATCAGGGGAATGAAAGGATTCGCGCGCGCGCGCGTCAAGTCAGGACAGGACTCTCCGCGAGAAAATCCGCTTTCGCGCCCCCTCAATAGCATTTAATTGCACTCGCGAATGTGTTCGTTTAGCCGGTGATTTCGCTGCGTATTCCGTTAATCCACTCGCGGGCGTGTCGAAGGTGAGACGAAATGCTAAAACGAAAACGAAGCAGTAAAAGCGCGAGTGTTGCGCGCGAGTGGATATAAGCGGGATGCGAAAGGAAATTGAACGTTAAATAAAATATCTGGCGAATCGGCTGAAATATTGAGTGAGGCGCGATACGAAGAGACGAAATTAGAAATTAAATATTGAAGCTCATAAGTTACGCGTTATAAAAGCACGACATGAGGGATCTTGTGTCTTACGCCGTCTTTTTCAACCACTTGATTTTGCAATTGCGCCGACGACGACGACGACTTGTCGGAGAGGATCGCTCTCGCGAATTTGGAACACGAGACGCGGTCGCGGGACAATTTTCTCTTTCTCCCTCTTTTTTTCCCGTTGTAACGTTGAGCGAAAACAACGAGCGAAGCAAAGGATGCCACCGGGGCGAGACGACGACGATGTCATCGTCATCGCTGCTGCGACCCGAAAAAGACCGCAGCTGCCGCCAGATGCGGTCGGCTCGCCTCGACGGCTCGCCGTGGCTGCTCCGTGGGGGTGGTGGTCCGAGGCGGGGATAATCTCATGAAATTTTAACCATTTTAATTAATATCCTTTATCAAGGATCGCGCCAGTTTTATACGTGTCAGCTAACGCGACACGTTTCGTCGCGAGAGCAAATGTCTCGATTTACACGACATTAGCGTCCGCAAACGTTTTCAGTTTTCTCGACAAGCGTTCAGCGCAGCTGAACCGAGTTCGCGGCTCGAAAATCGAGACTCGCAAAGAGCGGCGGAGGGGGGGAGAAGGAGAGAAGACGAGAGAGATAGAATAGCCGCTCGTCCTTGAGTTTCGAAGAATGACCGATGAATCGTCGGTCGTTCATGCGCTTTACGTCTTGCGCGTGATTTTCTCGTGCGCTCTCCTGATCCTTCGGCGAGGCGAGTCCTCCTCTCTCCGCTCACGCTCGCGCTCGCGCTCGCGCTCGCTCGCGCGCGCGTGATAGAAATACGATCGTACGAAGCGATTATTTCTTTGCGGCACACAGTCTGGATAATTGCTATCTTGCTTATTGCGCCTCGGTCGCGCTCGTTGCGTTTTGGTCAGCGAGTATTTGGAATGGATGCAGTGGCGTAGCTCAACTCACGCAGAGTTCTCGCCGCGACCTCCTCTTACCCTCGATCAAGACTTCCTCGAGAGTCCTTGGTCCTCCTCACAGTACTCGCTTCGGGACTTGGAGATTAGGATTAGGATTGATACACGTTGGGGCAAATTCGGACAAACGGCGATATTACTCGAGGCACTCGAAGCCAAGCGCCGCGGCGGCCGCATCCGCGAGACAAATAGATTATTAATCTGTTTGTAAATGGAATTAATCAAATGAGAAATGAAAATCAAAAAGTGAAACTCCGAATGAAAAATTCCCCTCCTCCTCCTCGACGCTTGGCATTTCTTTTCGCGCTGTAAAAAAAGGCTTGAACGAGGGAAACTGCTTACGCCGCCGATGCTCGAGCACTCGTCTCGCGGTCAGAGCCGCGGCGTTATGCAGAAAAGAGCATTCCGTGTAGTTACTTGGGGGCTCGATTCGACAGTACCTCCGTGCCTTATTAGAATTTATACCCGGAGTATTTCAGAAAATTGCGCGTTCTGCCTTTTGAGCCGCGGCACACGCGGATACACACACACACACACACACACACACACATCTTAATGAATCCGGTATCATTTTTCTCTCTCCGGCGTGGAGCTGCCGAAAGGTCGTTCGTTCGTCCGTCCGTCCATCTATTCGTTTGCCGGTAACTCCTTATCTCGTTAACGTTAAACATTTTTCACGATGGAAAACGCGCGCGGAACGGCTTCCTGGAAATTAATCATATCCTTGTGTGTGTTCTGCATTATAAGCTTCTGTATCGTAGTGATACAGCGCTATATATAACAACACGTATAACATATAGCACATTGCGTTATAGTAATATTCTATATTCTCTATGTAGTATACTACATCGATAACACACCTAGGTCGAAGCTAAACTATCCTTACAACATCGTTACATTCTATTTGCGGCGCCGCGCCGTTCGGAATCGCACGGCCGATATTATCGATGTCGCTCGCCGTCGAAAAATCGCTCGCCCGGCGGATTAATTCGTCCGGTTCAATAATAACGCGGCATTATCTCAACGACGAGAGGTGGGATTACGCATCTCGCACGCACACGAGACGCGTATAACGCGCAGCTCGCCGCGCCGACGGTATTTCACTCTTACCCTTTAACTGCATTATTTATCGCACCTTGTTTACCGCGAGTTTTCCGCCGTAAATGGCCGTTGCGCGAGTCGAGGCCACAAAGTGCTTCACTTTAAGATTTATTCACGCGTCGTCGTCGTCGTCGTCGTCGTCGTCGTCGTCGTCGTCGTCGTCGTCGTCGTCGTCGTCGTCGTCGTCGTCGTCGTCGTCGTCGTCGTCGTCGTTGTCGTCGTTGTCGTCGTCGTCGTAGCGCGCGCGCACGATATCGTTACGCCGGAGGAGTGTCTCGTAATATCGCGTAAGTTACGATGGAGTTATTACATCCCTTTCCCGCCTGCGCGCGGCGGAATATGTTAATACGCCTATTTCTTTGTACGCCTGGTAATGATGCACTTTGCCTTATGGGATCGCGCTGCGCCGCGCCGCGCCGCGCCGCGCCACGCCGCGCCATGCTGAGGCTTAGATCGATAGCGGAGCGTGCACTTGAAAACGTAAAACGGCCTTCTTCTCTTTCTCTTTCTCTTCCGGCGCGAGCCGGAGGAAGCGAGATTTTTTCATCGGCGTGTTTAACCTCGTGCTCTTTGTAAAATAGGCCGGGGAACGAGGGGAGTCGTAAGTCGTCGAGAAATTTTTAGCCGACGCGCAGCCGACGACGTGTTTGCGCGTGCGAGTCGATGGCTATTCTTCGATTTAGGATGTCATTAATTAATGACACCTGTGCCACGGCTTTCCGATCAGAAATGTATTTGTGGACCTTGTTGGTCTCAAACGAGATACATAGGTTGGAAATTAGGCGTATATTTCTCTTCTTGAGACTGACGAGAAGACGAGAAGTACTTTACAGAGTCCAAAGACGTCGTTGTCTTGTATCTATAAATAGAGAGAAAGGTATTGGGCTTTTCAAAGATGCGCTTATTAAGATGTTTCGATTTATACGAAGAATGTGTACTAATCGTCCGTGACTCGTTTAATTTCAGGAGGCAGCAGCTGGAGCAATCGGTATACTGCGAACCTGAATCGCGACGAGCCACCACCAACGTGGAAGATGACAGGCAGGATGTGCAAGGTGCCAACAACCCGGAGAAAGTCAAGGTACAATAAATAAAGGCATTATATCGAATTTTTTCGCGCTCTTGCTGATTCCTACTGTTTCCGAAAGGGAAGAGAAATTTAAGAAAATATTTTATTCGGAACATCTAGGAAAGTTATTCGGCTCCTCTAAATACCATCACCAGTAACCATATCGATAAATATTCAGTAACGTATGCGATCGTCCGATCGATCCATCGAAAATGTCCTCTCGATGTCCTCTCGTTGATAACTATTAAGTCATAGTACTCGAGCACCGTTGTACTCTTTAATATTTATTCGCTCGCGTCATTCGAGAAAACGTATTGTTGCAGAGTACAACGCAGGATCTGTTCGAGTTACTCGAGCGAGTGCAAAGTTCGCGTCTCGACGATCAACGCTGCGTTCTGCCGTCGTACTTTTCTCAGGTATGTGGAAATTCATAATAATTGGTAAGATTATATTTCTTCACATGGTCGTTTCAATTGAAAACGACTATCCGTGGCATTACGTTTACGGGTTACAACAACGATACCGGTGCCCGTATATCTCCCGAAAAGGAAAAAAAGCCATTAACCCCTCGTTATCTAATTTCACGCGTTTAATCACCGCGAGAGCGACTAGCGAGAGGAGACCGCACGAGACTGGGGACCGAATCTAAACTCATAACATTTCACTTCTGTCTTACGCTTTCACAGTCGATATATAGTTTTCTTTCTTCAAGTGCGCGCGAGATGAAATCAACAGCCGTGCCGAAATCAACATTTACCCGACAGTCTGTTAAATATCGAGGTCCCACATGAAAATAAAGATAGATAGATAGATAGAGAGAGAGAGAGAGAGAGAGAGAGAGAGAGAGAGAGAGAGAGGGAGAGAGGGGGGGGAGAGAGAGAGAGAGAGAGAGATCTCATTTTGCTATTTATGTCTAAATTAACGTTACATGGAAATGATATTTTATATATTTTATAGAAAATTAGTATAAAATTGTATACGTATAAATTTCCACACCCACACACACACACACACACACACACAATGACACAACAAGTATCATTTTTAATCGCTATATTATTGTCACATCGAGTACGAGATTATTTTAAGCAAAAAAAACGAGGTTATTTTAAGGAAAAAAAATATAAAAATTCTTATCAATTTTCCCGTAAAAAATAGCCGGTACGTTTCACGAAATCAAGAAATAAATTTATTCCATCCTATCCTCACAGACACGCGAGTATATTATATTTTCATAACGCGAAATCTAATTTTCAAATAGCGCGCGTACTCGCGTTTATTGTGATAACACGTGGTTAAAACGAAAAATAGCGCCCTGTTTTTTCATTGGCGCAAAAATTAAAGCACCTTTTCCCTCCATTTGCAAATGCTTTTAATTCACTCGTTTTTCGCATCGAGAGAGACGGATGATCGTCAAAGTCGTTCGTGTAAATCCTCGCGTGACGGACCTCACTCGGTCGGGACGACGGCCCATGCTCATTCGCGCGCGAACGAGCCGGAGATGAATGGACAAACGGGAGAAAGAGAAGGAGGAGGAGGAGAAGGAGAGGAGGATGAGGAGGAGAAGGAGGAGGAGGAGGATGAATGAACAACGCGATCCGGCACGGCTGGTGGGACGCGAGTGAAAAAACTTAAGACGAATCGCTCGATCACGACGCGCCGCGCGCTTGATTTCCGATCGACTGGCTGGCCGCGTCTTATCCGCGACCGCGGGACCGCGTTTTCGCTCCACTGGAAGGAAAATTGCACCAGTCACGTGCCGAACCGACGCGACAAACAGAGAGGATCTCTCTCCTCTCGTTCGACTCCTTACGGGTCCGAAATGTCAAGATGTGGTTCGACTGCGCGAATCGATCGATGGATCGCGCGACGGAAGATCGAATCGCAAGAGAAGAAATTATATCCCGGGATGCACTAGGATCGTTATCGCGTTTCTTGCGGATCGACAGCCGGATAAAGTAAGCGAGTTAACTGCTAGGTAAATTGAAAAGCAAGGAAAGGAAAATTGAACCGCGAAACTTTGCAAAATTCCGAGCAGCATTTTACGGTCGGTACGCGCTCCGTTTCGCTTCCAACGTAATTAAGGCCAGTTTTTTCGCTGTATGTCTTATCGATCGTACAGAAACTGGAGAAGCGACACCGCGTATCGCAATATCGCGAGGCACCGGTAACGGTAAAGTTGCCCAAAAATAAATGATCCAAAGTTAGTGTCTCATTTGGATTTTATTTTAATAAAAATTTAACTCAAAAGGCTTTAGTAATGTAATTACGAACCGTCAGTCATACTTAACGTTTAACGTGTCAGTGTGACACGGCAATTTGCCGGATCTTTCTTCGTAATCGGGGAAAATTGAGCGACTTTCACACTCGTGGGAAAAACGCGAACGTGCGAAAGAAAGAAAGAAAGAAAGACAGAAAGACAGAAAGAAAAGTATACGTCTGCAGGAAATTGCGCACATGGGAACCGCATTTGACGATTATTGCATGCTGTATTCGTTCGCCTTCTTGCTCGGTGAATCCGGATTTCTACACACGAACCCGTAATCATCTGCGTGCCACATGTAGCCGTCCCGTCTCGCGAGTTCGTGAGAAGCCTTCGCTCTTTTTTACCAGTGTTCGTTCTTCGTATTCGCTTTGCATCTTCTTGACCGGTCAATGTTTCTTTTTGCCGCCGATAAAGCAGAGTGTATCGATCGGGACGCGGTGAGAAAGCTCCGTTGTCGACGTTGCATACAGGAATGTGCACTCGTATCAACTCGCGATAAAGTAGAGGTCGGTAACAACGGTGATCTTCCTTATTGTCTGTAGAAGAAAAATATTAGCGTTACTTTTATACGCAAGGTGTGATTATATATTATATTGTTCGAATGAAAAGAGCAATCTAAATTGTAAAATTTTAGATTCGGTGTTTGATAAAATTTTGATATTTAAAATTATTCGAATTGAACGATTATACGTGGCGAAGTGCAACGGAACAGAGCGTCAAATCGTTGCATCGATCCACGGTCGAGATGATGTCGACGAAATGATGAAGAAATGTCTCCCCAGTCATCGTTTTTCAACGCGTTTTTTCAACAATTCCATTACTTTCGATAAATTTAGTAATTATCGATAAAATTCACAGGCAATCATCGGGGAAATGTGTAGTACTTTCACACGTCTTGCTCGTATTTTTTGCAGTTAGCAATGAGAGAAAGAAAAGAATTACAGTCATGTCTCTGTCAGTGTGCTGACCAGCTACCACCACTTGTTACATCTAAGAGTTGGCCAAAGAGATTATTGTGTGACGAATATTTTGAGAAATATTCGTCACACAATAATCTCGAAATAATTACGAAATAACTATTTTATCATAGCCGGACAACGAGACACCGAAACGCATGGTTGACGCTGTAAAACGAGACACGTCGCGCGTAGATAACTAGGTAGAGTAGTAAGGGCGGGGAAGGAGACGCGGTGTTTCCGGTTGCCAGGTAAACGCGCCGGAAGTTGCCGCTTGGAACCGTCGTGGTGCAGCCGAACGGACGGACGGCCGGGGAAAGATTTCGAGATTTGTGCCCTGCGCAGCGACCGTAAAGATCGTAGATTTCGCTGGGCACTCTCTTCCTCCCGCGAGAGTCGTCACTGCGCTCTCCTTTGTGAAGTGCGACTGGCAAAAACGCAGGAAAAAACGTAGCGGGCGTGCGAAAAGTGAGAATATAAGGAAAAAGACAGATATTATTGAGAAACCAATGATTTTTTTTATTTTTTATTTTTTTATTTGTACCAGATTATATCGGACATGCGATAAAGACGTGCAAGATAGAGAAAGATTTTGATTTTGCACAGCAATTTTGCGACGTTAGTCATTCCACGTTCGTTCAAATTCGAGTAGATTGAATCGACTTGGAGAAACGTCACTCTCTCCCATCGGAAATATCTCCCAAATTTCTTGTCTGTTTATTTAACGCGCGATCTTCTCCCGATTTTACACCAAGTGTAGGAGCTCTTGGCAACTCATCGTACTATATCGCGAATATGTAACGCGGACATGGATTCGAGGGCACCGACCTTCGATTCTTCTCGTTGTGCTAACCGACAGTTACTGCCCAGCGTTCTGTTAAACGAACGCGCTCGTTCCCATTAATAGCGATTGAAATCGGCCGCAGCTGCCGCGACTCGTTAACACTCATTATCTGCTGACCAAACCCGGTCGGTTGGAAAATAAAACAAGCATTCGATATCGATATCTCTTACTCGGCCGTAGCATTTTCGACTATCGAAGCTGTCGGCTCTCTTCTCGCGCGCTTCGATGCACTCGGTCAAATTCTAATCTCCTGATTCTACTTAGGCAGACCTCCTAATCCTCCTCTCCCGAATGGGAGATTATTTTAAGCGCGGTGTCGTAACCACATTGCCGTTCCATGGGTTAACCGCGCTTCCTGGCGATCATTGTGTAATTATCGCGTGTATCAAAGCGAAGCGGAATCGATCGCACGAGTGTATTTCGGGCTTGGATATTCGATTTGGTTCTGTTCGCCCCTTGAACGAACCGACCGGATTCACCTAGTAATTGTAAATCGGCATTACAAATGGCGCGACATTCGTGTCGTTGGATTCGGTTTTAGTAGAACTCTCTTACTGTCATACAGAGATTCGTCTGTTCCGGTCGAAATGCGCGCACGTTTATTGTTGCTGAGGTGATCGCACGCGAAGCGTGCGATTTTGGAGGGTCGCGTATGTAAATGGCGGAAGGGGGCAAATACACTGTGACGCTTTCAAGTTTTCGGGCGCAGGAAGTCGGGCGAAATAACGAAACAAAGAGAACACGCGGACACAAAGAAACGGGAAGCCTCTCGTCGTCACCGACAACGAAATAAGTCGACCACGAAAGGACATCCGGTCTCTCTCTCTCTCTCTCTCTCTCTCTTTCTCTCTCTCTCTCTCTCTCCCCCCTCCCCCTCTCTCGTCCTCTCCGGACACCACAAATTCACCGTCCGTTTCCTCTTGGTTTCACCTTCCGTACCACCTGTCGTTACCATGCTAGCCGGGGGTTCACCTTGCTCTTGAGAGGCCGCGCGTTACGCGAAGCCACGATCACGAAGCGCGTCGCGACGCACTGAACTTGAGATCGATGGGAACCTTTCCGCTGTTTCCTGTCAGTTTGCATTTTTTCCCGGGCGCAAGTGAGAAGAAGGAAAATCTTACTTATGTGACCGACCGCAAAGGACCGCAAAGTATCATCGTTGTGATACAACGCGTTCTCGATAAGGCTTGATAAGTGTATCCACTATGTCTCGTGTAGGTGACTTTCGGCGTCGTCAAGGGGAAAGAAAATTCTGTCATATCGACTGGGTAGAACATTTCGATGGCGCGTCTTCCTATCTGGAAACGAAATAATTTTCACACAACGCTGACCGCACCATATCTTATCGTA